CAGACTGAGTTTGGATTTCCATCATTATCAACTATTATTTTATTATAATTACTAGCTGTCCCTTGCCACGCGTTGCTGTGGCCCAGTCTGGGAAATAAAGTAATGAGGAATTGTTGGTTCCTAATATATGTGATGCTTGTGGGTAAACAGTATTTCTTGCTGTTTCTTTGTCAGTGTTAATGTGGAGAGTGTCCAGTTTGCCCACCTGGAACATGCAACATATCATTGTCCTTCTTTAAGGGTCCCTTTCAAATCTATGATACTATATCTGTGTGTGAGAGAATCATATCTATCTATCTATCTATCTATCTATCTATCTATCTATCTATCTATCTATCTCTATGGTTGGATGGCTCTTTGTCAGGAGGACTTGCCCTGATGAAGGGAGTTAGACTGGATGGCCATGGGGGTTCTGTGTGGGAATTTTGCCCCGATTCAGTCGTTTGTGGGTTCAGAATGCTCTTTGATTGTAGGTGAACTATGACTCCCAGTGACTACAACTCCCAAATGTCAAGGTCTATTTTCCCCAAACTCCATCTGTGTTCATATTTGGGCATATTGAGTGTGTGCCAAGTTTGGTCCAGATCCATCATTGTTTGAGTCCACAGTGCTCTCTGGATGTAGGTGAACTACAACTCCCAAATTCAAGGTCAATGCCCACCAAACCCTTCCAGTATTTTCTGTTGGTCATGGGAGTTCTGTGTGCCAAGTTTGGTTCAATTCCATCATGGAGTTCAGAATGCTCTTTGATTGTAGGTGAACTATAAATCCCAGCAACTACAACTCCCAAATGACAAAATCATAATTTTTGAGTGATGGTCACTCCTTGTGTTGTGAGACTTTTGTTGCCAAATTTGGTGTGATTTCGTTCATTGGTTCTTTTGTTTTTAAGGTACTCATTATGCACAGAGCATTTATATATATATATAGATAATGATCAGTTATTGGTCTATTGGGGTGACATTTCTACAAAGTAGGCTTTAAAAACCATTTCCATAATTCAACCAGTTTTGCAGACTAGGAGTGATGGAAACTGGTTGTTCCTTCCAATAACAAAGCCCAAAACCAAAACATTCTTGTTGTCTTGACTTTTAGGCTTGTTCCCAGGGTTATTTGGGGTGCAGATTCAGAAAATTACATTGGATAGAGCACATCAGCTCTAGTTTGATAAGGTCATCATAATTCTCTATGGGTGAGCAGATGACTGGTATATCCCCAAAACTACAGCTGATAGGAGAAAATGTTGCAATTTTTGGAATCAGGTCAAATATAGCCAGAAACAGGGATAACATTTGAAGCACCAAAATGTGTGTTGGCCAATGTTATTATATGTGTAATCCTGATATGCTTTCTGTTAGGCTGGGTCTCATCAATTAAACCAAATCAGTTTTTGCTCTCAACACATTCAGTTGAGCTGGGCTTCAACACAGTTGGTTAAACCATCAGTAGCAGAAAATCTTCCCAATCAAAAGGTCAACAGTTCAAGCCCGAGTTCGGGTGAGCTCCCAATCACCAACCCAGCTTCTGCTCACCCAGCAGGTCAAAAACAGTAATGTGAGTAGATAAATAGGTACCGCTTTGATGAGGAGGTAATAAAAGGTGAACATGCCAGTGATTCGATCAGGAGAGTATCTAAAGCAATGGTTCCCAAACGGTGCTTCGTGGACCACTAGTGGTCCCCAAGAACTAAAATATGGTCCGTGGCCTCACCGCTACTACACCATTGCAACAAGAGCGACTGGTCTCGCAAAACCCTTATAGTGCCGAGGCAAAGGGATGTCGGAGGGGAGAGGCTGACTACCCACGAAGGATTACACAAGCCTTCTGACTGCTGCTTCTCCTCCTCCTCCCCTAGTGGAGCTGTTCCATGTGGCACCTGGAAGTGGGGCACCTGTCTTTGTTTTTACACCTGTTCCTGGGGTTATTTGGGGTACTAATTCAGAAAATTGCATTGGATAGACCCTATCAACTCTAGATGATTAAATATGGTTTCCTGTGGGTGAGCAGATGGCAACTACTGGATGGCCTATGTTCTGTATCAGAAACTAGAGCTGATGTGGTTTATCCAATGCAATTTGCTGAATCAGCACCCCAAACTGAATCTAAAGTTGACCAAAAACTGATTTGTAACTCCTTTGGTACTAATTTTGGGAGAGTGGTCTCTGGTCAAGCGGTCCCTGATCAAAAAAAAGTTGGAACCACTTTTTTGCTCCTTGGCATGGAAGATGGAGTAACAGCACCCCCACTCCCCTGACCAGAGTAGAGCACAGCCTCAATGCTGGAGTTGGAAACAGATGGGAAGCCTTTATCTCTGTTTATGTACTGTCTGTCTTTGTTAATTGTATAACGGCGCTGAATATTTGCCGTATATGTGTACTGTAATCTGCCTCGAGTCCCCTCAGAGAGATAGGGTCGAATATAAATAAAGTATATTATTGAGTTGCAGGCCTAAGATGGAGTGGTAAAAAGTGTGGTATCCCTCACAAATAATCTGCTCCTCTGCTTATCTCACCGAGTTTTTAACATTTTATCTTGCTTATGCAGCCCGCCCGTTGTCATTGTGACTGTTCACTGTATTTATATGTCTTATGTATACCACTTATTGTATTTATATATTTTATGTATTTTACTGTGTTGTTGTTTTTGGTTTTATTTTATTGTAATTTTGCTGTTTGGGCCTGGCCTCATGTAAGCTGCCCGAGTCCCCTTTGGGAGATGGTGGCGGGGTTATTATTATTATTATTTTACTGTCTATGAAATCATAAAAGTGGCTGGCCATCAATATATTTCAGGTTAGCATTGTGCTAGCTGAGAAAATGCTTCCTTTGATCTTTCCCGAGTCTCTCGCCATTCAGCCTTAATTACATGAACTTGGTTTATTTCATCTGTGCATTTTCCAACATGTATAATTTTATACAGGGTGAGGCAGCATAACTTCCTTTTTTAAAATGCGTGCCAGTTGGTTGAAGACGTAACGGAGTGCTAGTGGTCTCGTTCGAGAGGCGGGAGTATAAAGTTTTGTCCTGACACAGTTCAGTTGCCATCATGCGTTGGAACAGTGAGGAGCGTGCTTTTGCCGTTGAGGCCTACTTTTCGAGTGGATTTGGAGTGGCCGGTCCACTCTCCAGATTTGGCCACCTGTGATTTTTTTCTAAGGGTTTTTTTTAAATCCCGTGTTTATGTGAACCGTCCAAGGACCCTACAAGATTTGAAGACCAACATCCAGGAAGAAATTGCCAACATAATGCCTGCTATGCTGGCAAGAGTCATGACAAACGCCAGAAATCAGTTTACTCAGTGTATGGAGAATGGAGGACGTCACCTACCTAATTTGATCTTCAAAACTACATAAAACAAAACTTTAGGTATGCGCCTATATTATTAAAAAATTCTGATTCATACAATAGGTTTTATTAAGTTTTGAAAAAAGGAAGTTATGCTGCCTCACCCTGTATGATACCACAAACATGTCCTCTGTTGCACTGATCTGATTGTCTCAAGTGGAGACAGAAGGTTTGAGGCGCAAAAAATGTGGTCAGGTTCATCTCGATGCAGATTGTCCATCTCAAAACAGCAACCCACAGTACCCGATGGCTGAGCAAATGGGACTGCAATAGAGCGGAAGAGATGACATTAAAGGGCCTTGCAACTTGAATACTGTACAGGACACACTAGTAATAAGTGTGACTAAAAGAACTGATACTAATGGGGACATTTCCTGTATTTAAAAGCTGCTCTACATGAAATCTCACAGTACTCCTTAATTCAAACATATGCAGCTCCACGACATCCATTATATACTGAAAACTAGCTGTACCCACCACGCGTTGCTGTGGCCAACCTTGCCTCCCTCTTTTGCTCCTTCTTTCTTTCTCTCCTTCCTTCCCTCCCTCTTTCCTTCTTTCCCACTTTTTCTTTCTTCCTTCTCTGTTTCTTTTTCTCACTTCCTTTGCTCTTTGGTTCCATCCTTGTCTCTTTCTTTCCTTCCTTCCCTCTTTCGTTCCTTCTCTCCCTTCTTTCCTCTTTCACTTTATTTCCTTCTCTCCTTCCGTCCTTCTCTACCTTTCTCTCCCTCCTTCTTTCCCTCTTTCACTCCCTCCTTCTCTCCTTCTTTCCCTCTTTCTCTCCCTCCTTCTCTCCTTCCTTCCCCCTTTCTGTGTTTATGTTTTGTGGGTGTATATGCATATATGTGTATATATATGTGTGTTTGTGTATATGTGTGTGTTTGTGTATATATATGTGGTTTTGCGCATGCGTTGTAATGTATTTTTGTGGCTTTTTTGGCTTTTTAAGTCCCCTCTGCTGTTTTTCAGTGTTTTTATGAGTGATGGTCACTCGTTGGCCTGACTGTTGTCTTGTGTCCAACTTTGGTGTCTATCCGTCCAGTGGTTTTAGAGTTATGTTAATCCCACAAACGAACATTACATTTTTATTTATACTGAAAATGGTGCTCAGCTCCCTTTAGATTTATTGCATTCATTAAGGAGCAGAGACAATCCCACTGTGACCAGACACAGTCCCAGACCCCCCATCTGGATCTTCCATCAGTATTCATTCGGACTTGAAGGCAGATGAATCAAGGATCTAGACAACTGACTGAGGCACCAGGACATTTTGGATCAAGTCTTTTTTGAGAGGTGATGCATTCTAGAAGCCAAAAGCAGCAAAAAATCAAAGTCAGTGATGCAAAAGTATTAATAACACTCAGAGTATAATCCGGGAAATGATCTTAATCATCATGATGCTCCTTCGGCATTATAAATACGGCCTGTTGGGTCAACGTCTCAGAGATCAACCCATTTATCTCACAGCTATGACAGTTCTGAAACAGGGGGGAACCTTGAGATAATAGGGCCCAAGCACTATGACCAAATGGGAAAGGGACTGTGATGCGAGGCCAAATATGAAGAGATACAGGCTAAAGAAAACATGAGGCTGACCAAGTAGCAGTCAGGGACCCAGGTCACCAACTTACTTATACACATGGTGACTGCTGAAGATGAATTCGAAGTACCTATTACTTTTAATTTGTTGACATAGTAAAAGTTGTACATAACGTTCAATGTGGCAAGGAAATATGAACAATCCAACAAAGAAGCCGATACAAGGAAACACAGGAGAAGGAAGGAGCGAGAGAAAGGCTGCTCTCAGTAGCGGTGAATTAATGAGGGCCATATTCTGAGAGCTGTCACTCTGGGGTCGACTAAGGCTTGCCCAGCTACAAATGACAACGACACATTGGCCCTAGAGCCTAGGGAGCATGAGTTTGTGTGCCCTTTGGGAGGTGGCAGAGCAAAGGGTTTGTAAAAACAACCAAGGGAAGACGGAAGGGGCCAAGAAACCTGATTCATCCTGCCACTATTTTTACAAATCTAACACCACTCACAAAACTACAGCACAAGAGGAATATAAAGATTAAATTGCAAGAGAAACTGCAGCATTCCAGGTAGTTGGCGCCCCCTTCCTGCTTCCTTGAAGACTGGGAAAGAGCAAATTTGACTTATTCCAAACCATTCATACTTTGGGTTGTTGTAGGTTTTTCCGGGCTATATGGCCATGTTCTGGAGGCAATTTTTCTCCTGACGTTTCGCCTGCATCTATGGCAAGCATCCTCAGAGGTAGTGAGGTCTGTTGGAAGTAGGAAAATGGGTTTATATATCTGTGGAATGACCAGGGTGAGACAAAGGACTTTTGTCTGCTGGGGATAGATGTGAATGTTTCAGCTGATCACCTTGATTAGCATTCAATGGCTTGGAAGTGCCCGGGGGGAATCCCTTGTTGAGAGTGATTTTATGAAATCCACAAGCATGTGGACAATTTCAACAGAAAGGAAGAAACCATGAAAATGAACAAAATGGCTACCAGTATTAAAGGACTCAAAAATCACAACAGCAAAACAACAGAGGGGAAACAAACAGGTACATAAAATCACTCTCAACAAAAGATTCCCCCCGGCACTTCCAAGCCATTGAATGCTAATCAAGGTGATCAGCTGAAACATTCACACCTAGCCCCAGCAGACAAAAGTCCTTTGTCTCACCCTGGTCATTCCACAGATATATAACCCCATTTTCCTACTTCCAACAGACCTCACTACCTCTGAGGATGCTTGCCATAGATGCAGGCGAAACGTCAGGAGAAAATGCCTCTAGAACATGGCCATATAGCCCGGAAAAACCCACAACAACCCAGTGATTCCGGCCATGAAAGCCTTCGACAACACATTCATACTTTCCTGGGTTCTCTTGAAGCACAGAAAGGGCTCCCGTTGAAGGAACTGCTGGGCTCCTTCACTGGGGTGGTAAGAGAAATATAACTAAGATGAAAAGACTTTAGCACACTATCAATCATGCTGCTGTTGGACAAATCAATCTGGCGAGACCCACAGTCCAAGCAGGCCTGCCCTGCCCAACCCATAATCCAGAGAATGTCCGTTGTGTGAGCAATTCTGACGAAAGCCACATCAAGAAGACAGCGACTTAGTTGCAGAGCCCTGTAAAGAGTAGGTTGGGTTCAAAACCAAGAGCAATGAATGAAACCCAGTGGAAGAAGAAAAGGGAGCATTCAAATTGGCATGATTGGACAGGTCACAAAGATGGGTATGGTGAGCCCTCTGAGATGGGTATTCAATTCATCCAACTGCATTGTTAATGGGAAGACTAAAATGCTGGAGCTCATGGTCAAAAGCATCAGCTCTCAGCAGGAAGTGACCCTTCTGCTGACCAATCAAGGGGGGGAACTTACAAGGGGGATTTTTTTCCAGGCAAGTAGGGTCATTCCGGGCTGCTATTTGGGATACTTGCCTGGGGCCTCTCGGCCAATATGTTTTCCCATCTAAGTAAAGAGAGAAGCTCTGATTCAGACCTTCTGGGTGCTAGAGATTGGGAGAGGGAGGGGCAAATCCGAAGACCCAAATAAAAACCAACCAGAAAAAGCTAGGAGAATTTCTGTAGACTTTTAACTAAAAGTGTGGCGAGGACTGTTTCCAGCCAGTTTCCCCATCTTGATAGTCACATAAACTGAGGCAAAGACTGTCTTGAGTCTACTGAACAGTTCATAAGTTCAGAGTGCTGACAGCTCAGTAGAGAGTCTCTGCATTGCTGCTCCGGGGTCGCTTGATCTTCTCGATGTTCTTTAGGATCATGTCGTGCAGGGTCACCTAAGGGGAGAGAAGATGGTCACTGATTTGGTCTGCGAGTGAGAACAGGAATTGCTAAGCAAACATCTCCTGTCTGCCTTCCAGACTAAAGAACACAAGCCCAGCAAGCTATTCCACCTATTTCAGGAAAAGATGGGAGATTGCCCGGAGCGTTTAAGTAAGATTAAACCAGTTTGAATTGTCCTAGCTTCCCCCAAACTTGCCAGTTTACAAGAAGAGCCTCCTATTAAAGATCTCTGGCTTCCTTTGAAGGTCAAGCCCTCAGAGGTTCACAAATGCTTAAGCCACAAAAAATGTGAAAGTCCACAAGATATCACAAGACACTGTGGATTATGCCACAACAAGGCAGAGTAATAATAATAATCTATATAAATAACACTGTTCTACAAATTTTCAGTTTTTCTCAGTTGCGGAAACGAAATGTGCCATTTCTTAATAAATTTAACATGCTGAATTCAAATATAATAATTAAATGTGTTAATTGGCTCTGGTTTTTATGCAACAGCTATTTCAATTGTCTCCACAATAGGTAATTCTTTGAGGGATCGTCTCACCCCTACCAACCCCAGAGATCCCTCCGTTCTGAGGACCAAGATCTATTGGAAGTCCCCAGTGTCAAGACCTTGCGTCTAACGGCAACCAGATGCAGAGCCTTCACAGCAGTGGCGCCATCAGTCTGGTATGCTCTGCCACCTGAAGTTCGTGCCCTGCAGGACTTACCAGCTTTCCGCAGGGCATGTAAGACATACCTGTTTCGACAGGCTTTTAAAGTTTGATACTGTTGTTTTAAAATTGTTTTAAATTGCTTTTAAACTTTGTTAGATTTTAGCTATTCTTGTAAGCCGCTCCGAGCCCCAGGGGAGTGGTGGCATATAAGTTTAAATAATAAATAAATAAATAAATAAATAAAATATTATGATAATGCGCCTAACCTTACTGCATGTATATAAACTGAATATTTACTAAATTTTAGTCAAATTATATTGCCAATAGTTTATACATGAGAAATATTTATTTAATTAGTCTATTGTTTATGTTTGTGCAGCAAGAAACTATATTAGTAGGCCTAATGCAGTTGAAAAGTCTGAAAGTTTAAATGTCGCTTTAATCGTGACTTTAGTTTATATCCTGTTTGCTTCTCTTGACTTTTCTTTTGTATTCAAGGAAAGGATTGTCTCTTACAATGCTCCAGCAGTAGTCTGACAGCATTGACGGAGTCCATTGGCCTTGATATCTTTTTTCCATAGTGCTTTATTTACACACGTGCGAGGCATAACTACAGTAAAAAGAACAATGTAAAACGATGTTTAACGATACTGTCTCAGTCTTCAACTGACTGACCCTCACCGTTCAAAAGTCTGGCCTTATATAGGGCTTTCTGGCTTTTGCACACGGCACTAATACTGTGTTATCAAACTTTCTAGAATATTCTAGAATCTTCCATAGTGTAAGTCGCAACATGCATTTTTTTCAACCATACGTGATCACGTGATTGCTTATATCATAAAAACTAGAGCCAATATACATTTTTAAATGTCATTTTCAGTTTTCAGCACCCCAAAATCATAAAAGAACAACTATTTTCAGGCCCGCAACTTTTTCTCCGTTGAACAGTTAATCTATATAAATAAAAATGTAATGTTCGTTTGTGCTATTCACAGAACTCAGAAACCACTGGGGCAATTGACACCAAATTTGGACACTATGTCCCTAACAACCCAATGTATGTTCTCCACTCAAAAAAACAACGAAAACAAAAAGCAGAAAGGACTTCTAAACTACATGTCCACAAAGGAGAAACTGAATGTCTACCGAGACCCATGGCCACGCCCCCTCCTCCTCAGGGAAACAGCCGGCCGTTAAAGCCAGGCACATGCACGGCCACACACACACACACACACACGAGTGAGTGGAGTGGAGGTTTGCCGCATGCAGCCCCTTCTCTTCCCCTCCTATGTCAGGAGAGCAGTCTCCTCCTCCTTTCCCTGTTGGAAAGTGCCAGCAGCAGCAACGGAGTGCTCCACGCAAGGAAGAAGGGGAAGAGGAGGAGGAGGAGGAGGAGGCGACGAAGGTCCACGGTGCTTGAATGAAGGACCTTTCTTCTCTCCCTCCCTTCCCTTCTTTCCTCCCTTTCATTCCTTTCCCTTCTTTCCCTCCTTCCCTTTCTTCCTGTCCCTCCTTCCTTCTTCCTTCCTTTCCTTCTTTTCCTTCCTTCCTCCCTCCCTTTTCTCCTTCTTTCCCTTTATTTCCTTTCCTTCATTTCTTTCCCTCCCTCCTTTCTTTATTCCCCTCCTTTCTTTCTTTCTTTCTTTCTTTCTTTCTTTCTTCCTTCCTTCTCTTTCTTTCTTCTCCTCCTTTCTTTCCTCCTTTCTTCCTTCCTTCCTTCCTTCCTTCCTTCCTTCCTTCCCTTCCTTCCTTCCTTCTTCTTTCCCTCCTTCCTTCCTTCTTCCTTTCCTTCTTTCTATGTAAGATATAAATATAATATTAAATGGAAGGGACAGTCAAGAAGTAACGAGAGAAGGAGGGAAAGAGGGAAGGAAGGAAGGAGAGAAGAGGAGGGAAAGAAGGAAAGAAAGAAAGATAGAGAAGCAAGGAAGGAGAGAAGGAAATAAAAAAGTGAAAGGAAAAAGAGAGGGAAGGAAGGAGAGAAGGAACGAAAGATAGGGAAAGAAGGAAGCAAGGAAGGAAGGAAGTGTAACCAAAGAGCAAAGAAAGGGAGGAAAGAAACAGGTAGAGATGGAAGAAAGATGAGAGATAGGGAAAGAAAAAGAGGAAAGGAAGGAAAGAGGGAAGGGAGGAGAGAAAGAGGGAGGGAAGGTTGGCCACAGCAACGCGTGGCGGGTACAGCTAGTAATAATAATAATAATAAACTTCATACCTCACCACCATCTCTCCAAGGGACTCGGAGCAACCTACAATGAGGCCAAGCCCAACAACACATCAATAAAAACAACAAGCAATAAGCAAAATAAACAATACAATTAATATAACTCACACATAGACAATAACACATAAGGATTTAAAAACCTATGGGCGTGCCAGATGTAATAGTTAAAACTTTAAAAAAAAATGCTGGACATGAACAGAGGATGTATCTAGTAGGAGGGTTTTAAACGAAAAGTAGAGAGCAACCCAACGGGTAATTAAAGTGCTTCTCAGGATATTTTGCAGGGAATTGTTTCCTTTATTCAGGGAAGGCACACTGGAACAGCCATGTTTTCAGGCTCCTCCTAAAGACTGCCAATGTGTGGGCTTGGGGAGTGAGTTCCAGAATTGGGGGGCCACCACAGAGAAAGCCCTCTCCCTTGTCCCCACCAACCCTTTTTACCCGCCTCCCCCTTTTTTTCGTTTCTCTTACAAATTCAATAAAAATTACTTTAAAAAGGAAACAAACATGTGTCTAGTACAGATAGTCTTTAGAAGAGGCCTTGAATGATGACTTACGTATTGATTTCTCAGCTCTGAAATGATGAGGCGCAGACTGATATATTCCTTTTCATCCATCTCAGTCACTGTGCGACGGTAATCCTCCTACAAAGACAGAGACAGAGTTGCTTTGCTACAATTAGGCCCAACAGGGACATGACAAGACAAGGGGCTTCATGCCATCCCCCAGTTGAGAGTCATCTCTAAACAGCCTTTTTCTTTCCTGATTATTTATTTATTTCGTATATTTATATCCTGCCCTTCTCTCCACAAGGGGGACTCAGTGCAGCCTCACATGAGCATCAGAGGATGCTAACAGCATAAATACCATAAAAATTACAATTCACAATAAAATCATTTTAAAACATTGTACATCATCATCACTGAAATTTAACAATAAATTAATAGATTAACATGCCAGTAAAGCCAAGCCGAGCCGAGCCGGGAGAATCCATATCGCAAAATCCAAATTTCCTTTTCCTATTGCAGCTGGCCTCTAATCGAACGCCTGGCCCCAGAGCCAGGTCTTCAGTTGTCTTCTAAAGGACAGGAGGGAGGTGGCCAACCTGATGTCCTTAGGGAGAGAGTTCCACAGACGGGGGGCCACTGCCGAGAAGGCCCTGTCTCTCGTCCCCACCAACCGCATTTGCGAGAGTGGTGGGATCGAGAGCAGGGCCTCTCCTGATGATCTTAAGCTTCGTGATGGTTCATAGCAGGAGATACGTTCAGACAGGTAATCTGGGCCAGAACCATTCAGGACTTTAAAGGTTAAAACCAGCACGTTGAATTGTGCCCGGAAACTAATTGGCAGCCAGTGGAGCTGGTGTAACAGAGGAGTAGTACTCTCCCTGTACGCAGCTCCAGTTAACTACCTGGCCACCGACTGCTGGACTAATTAATTGGAGCTTCCGAGAAGTTTTCAAAGGCAGCCCTACGTAGAGAGCATTGCAGTAGTCTATTCGGGATGTAACCAGAGCGTGGACCACCGTGGGCAAGTCAGACTACACTACATATCCAGATTCACTACATATCCATATTCTACCCCTTCTTCACATAAAGCAGCAATTCAATAGCTGAAAGACCGAGACCTCTTCTACACTGCCATATAAAATCCAGATTATCCAGTTTGAACTGGATTTATTTATTTATTATTTATTTATTTAAAAGTTTTATATACCGACCTTCTCACCTCTCTTGAGGGACTCAGACCGGTTTCCAACCATAATATACATACAGTCAATAAAACTTCATATTGCAATAAAACATCATACTTCATATTGCAATAAAACATTAAAACAGCAAAACAGCAATTACATTCAATATGTAATTAAATGTAATATGGATTATATGGCAGTGTAGACTCATATAATCCAGTTCAAAGCAGATAATATGGATTATCTGCTCTGACAATCTGGATTATATGGCAGTGTAGAAGGGGCCCTAGTCTTGATAAAGTAACAAAGAAACCAAGAGAAGGATGCTTTCTAGAACGTAGCTCTAAGTATATTGTACTTTTCACAGTGTTTCTGAATGACATATAATCACAGTTCCTTTGAGCTATTTATTGTGCTGAAAATTCTAGACTCAATCACTGGATTAATGTGCCTGCAGTCACTACTTACCACATGAGGATATTTAGCTATTTTAGAAACCAACTTTGCCCGTGTGATATAATATCTGAAATGGAAGGAGAGAGATGGCTCAATTGATGGAAAGAAGTTTCAAAACAGCCCATATTTCTGAGGGAATATACCTTGCGCAGAGAAGTACAAATCTTAAAAGGCACTTTGCAAGAGCTGTAGCACTTTGAGAAGGTACCTACCTAGAGATCTGGTCCAAGTATGAAGCTGCCTCGCTTTCCACGGTCCGGAGCTCAGCCACAGTTTCTTCCTTTAAGGAATAAAGCCAGCAGTAAACATTAGGAAATAAATACTTCTGAGTTGACCCATGATTACACAAGCTAAGCTTCCACCTTGATCTTCAAGTGTCTGAGTTCCAGACAGATAGAAGCAGACAAACAATTGGAGCAGTTGATAACTAAGCACCAGCTGCTGCTCTGGGCCAGAGTGAAGGGGGGGGGGGGGGGCAGGGGACAGTTCCATCTTGTCTCCTGCATATGTCATCAGTTGGGGACCACTCCCCCCAGCACCAGCTGCTGCTCTGGGCCAGAGTGAAGAGAGGGGGGAGCAAGGGACAGTTCCATCTTGTCTCCTGCATATGTCATCAGTTGGGGACCCCTCCCCCCCAGCACCAACTGCCTCTCTGGGCCAGAGTGAAGAGAGAGGGGGCCAGGGGACAGTTCCATCTTGTCTCCTGCATATGTCATCAGTTGGGGACCCCTCCCTCCAGCACCAACTGCCACTCTGGGCCAGAGTGAAGAGAGAGGGGGGCAGGGAACAGTTCCATCTTGTCTCCTGTGCTATGCTAATAATATATTGAAATATATTGTATATACATATAATATTTATAATATTATAATGTAATACAATATAATAATATATTATAATTATAGATTTTATATTACATGTAATATTACTAATAATATTACAATATAATAGTATCTATATATATAATAAAAGAGAATGTTTGTATCGGACAGAGGAAGGAGTATGTGGCAGCGTTCTGATTGGCTGCCGCTGCGGTGCTATTTGCATATGGTCTCTGATTGGCCACCTTCAATAGGAGCCCCTGGTGGAGAAGAGGGCATGGCAGAAACGGGGCATGACAGAAGGAAATTTGCATATGGTCTCTGATTGGCCAGCCTCAAATCCAACATTCCGAGATGAGAAAGAGAGGAAAGGAAAGGCCGGGGCCTGGGTCAGAACACTCCCAATACAGATCGAAATAGGCACACAGAGCCCCCATCACCCACTCGACATCCTACTGCAGTTTGGAGGACTATGAACCATGGATGATGGGACTTGCAGTACCACCACTCACATTCTGAGACCGCTGTTAACCTTATCCAATGACTGATCAGGACCAAACTTCGCACAGAGACCTCTCATGACCCACTTTACGTCCTGGTGTGGTTTGGCTGGGGATGGACCGTGGATTATGGGACTTGCAGTACCATTGCTCAATTCTTCAGACCACTGCAACCCTCATCCAATTACCGATAAAGACCAAACTTGGCACACTGAGTCTCCATGACGCACTCTACATCCTGGTGCAGTTTGGAGGAGGATGCACCATGGATAATGGGACTTGCAATACCTGCACTCCCTTCCTAAGACCATTATAACTGCCAACAATGATGGATCAGGACCACAATTTACACAGAGAGTCCGCATAACTCACTTTATATCCTGGTGCGGTTTGGAAGAATTTGACAATGGATGATGGGACTTGCAGTCACTTCACTCACTTCCTGAGACCACTGAGACCCACGCCAATGACTCATCAAGACTAAACTAGGCACATGGAGCTTCAATGACCCACTCTACATCCTGGAGCAGTTTGGAGGACGACAGACCATGGATGATGGGACTTCAAGTACCTCCACTCCCTTCCCAAGATTGCTGCAACCCTCATCTAATGACCGATCAAGACCAAACTTGGCACACACAGCCCCCATGACCCACCCTACATCCCGGTGCTGTTAGAAGGATGGACGATGGGTGATGGGACTTGCAGTACGTTCACTCACTTCCTGAAACCATAGCGACACTCATTCAAAAACCAATAAAGACCAAACTTGGAACATAGAGCCCCCATGGCCAACTCAACATTCTGGTGAGGTTTGGGGGAGTACAGACTATGGATGATGGGACTTCAAGTACCTCCACTCACTTCCCAAGACCTCTGCAACACTCATCTAATGACTGATCAAGTCCAAACTTGGCACACAAAACCCCCATGACCCACTCTCCATCCTGGAGCAGTTTGGAGGGGGATGGACCACAGATAATGGGACTCACAGTAACTTCACTAACTTCCTGAGACAACTGCGAGTCATATAAATAACTGATAAAGACCAACCTTGATACACAATTCCTTTCTCAAATAACCCGGGCAGCGCCGGGTCCCCAAGCTAGTATATAATAAAGAAGAGTGTTTGTATCGGACAGAGGAATTGTGGAGGGCGGTGTATGTGGCAGCGTTCTGATTGGCTGCCGCTGTGGTGCTATTTGCATATGGTCTCTGATTGGCCAGCTGCAACAGGAGCCTCTGGTGGAGAAAAGGGTTCATAACAGAAACTGAGACATGAGAGAAGGAAATTTGCATATGGTCTCTGATTGGCCAGCCACAATTCCAAGATTTTGAGATGACAAAGAGAGGAAAGGAAAAGGCCAAGGGCTGGGTCAGAAAATTACCAATACAGACCAAACTTGGCACACAGAGCCTGCAAGCCCCACTCGACATCCTACTGCAGTTTGGAGGACGATGAACCATGGATGATGGGACTTGCAGTACCACCACTCACATTCTGAGACCGCTGTTAACCTTATCCAATGACTGATCAGGACCAAACTTCGCACAGAGACCTCTCATGACCCACTTTACGTCCTGATGTGGTTTGGCCAGGGATGGACCGTGCATTATGGGACTTGCAGTACCATTGCTTAATTCTTCATACCACTGCAACGCTCATCCAATTACCGATAAAGACCAAACTTGGCACACAGAGTCCCCATGACCCACTCTACATCCTGGTGCACTTTTGAGGAGGACAGACCATGGATGATGGGACTTGAAGTACCTCCACTCTCTTCCCAAGACGGCTGCAACCCTCATCTAATGTCTGATCAAGATCAAACTTGGCACACAGAGCCCCCATGACCCACTCTGCATCCTGCTGCAGTTTGGAGGAGGATGAACCATGGATGATGGGACTTGCAGTACCATCACTCACATTCTGAGACCGCTGTTAAACTCATCCAATGTCTGATCAGGACCAAACTTGGCACATAGACCTCTCATGACCCACTTTACATCCTGGTGTGTGTTTGGCTGGGGATAGACCATGGATTATGGGACTTGCAGTACTTTTGCGCAATTCCTGAGACCACAGCAACGCTCATCCAATTACCGATAAAGACCAAACTTGGCACACTGAGTCTCCATGACGCACTCTACATCCAGGTGCAGTTTGAAGGAGGATGCACCATGGACGATGGGACTTGCAATACCTGCACTCCCTTCCTAAGACCATTACAACTACCAACAATGATGGATCAGGAACACAATTTACACAGAGACCCCAGCATGACCCACTCTACATCCTGGTGCGGTTTGGAAGAATTTGACAATGGATGATGGGACTTGCAGTCACTTCACTCACTTCCTGAGACCACTGAGACCCTCGCCAATGACTGATCAAGACCAAACTTAGCACACAGAGTCCCCATGACCCACTCTACATCTTGGTGCAGTTTGGAGGAGGACAGACCATGGATGATGGAACTTCAAGTACCTCCACTCCCTTCCCAAGATTGCTGCAACCCTCATCTAATGACCAATCTAGACCAAACTTGGCGCACAGAGCCCCCATGATCCACTCTACATCCTGCTGCAGTTTGAAAGGGGATGGACTTGGATGATGGGACTTGCAGTACCTTCACTCACTTACTGACACCACTGCCACCCTCATCTAATGACTGATAAAGACCAAACTTGGCACACAGAGCCCCCATGACCCACTCTATATCCTGCTGCTGTTTGTAGGAGGATGGCTCATGGATGATGGGACTTCAAGTACCTTCACTCACTTCCTGAAAATAATGCAGCCGTTATCCAAAGACCAATAAAGACCAAACTTGCCATACAGAACCGCCATTACCCACTTTCTCTAATAACCCGGGCAACGCCGGGTCCCCAAGCTAGTAGTACAATATAGTAATATAGAATATTGATATTGTACTATGCTAATAATATAATATAGAATCCTAGCTTTGGCCCCTTCTACATTACCATATAATTCAGATTATCAATTCAGATAATCTGCTTTGAACTGGGTTATATAATAATAATAATAATAATAATAATAATAATAATCAACTTTATTTATACCCCACCGCCATCTCCCCAAAGGGAACTCAGGGCGGCTAACACAAGGCCAAGCCCAAAAATAATATAGCAAAGTTAGACACAAAACAACAGAAAAATTGCATCACAACAAAATACATAAAGTAACCAAATAAAATAAACAGTGCAAAATAACATAATAAAATCAAACACAAATTATGAGTCTACATTGCCATTTAATCTAGTTCAAAGCAGATAATCTGAGGTTTATATCGCAGTTTAGAAAGAGCCATTATTCCCTCTCCTGGGGGAAATCACAGAGGACCCTAGAACAGCCAGAGTTCCCCAACCACAAATTTACCTGAATAGAAACGCCAAAATTGTTGCCATCTTCTATCCTGGGAATCAATAGCTGCACCCACATTTTGACCTGGAGGACAAAAAAGATCATAGTAAACATGCTATTGCTTTGTTGCACAGCCTAAGCTCTCTTCAAAGCCTTATCTAATAATAATAATAATAATAATAATAATAATAATAATAATAATAAACCTTTATTTATACCCCGCTACCATCTCCCAAAGGACTCGGTGTGGCTTACAAGAGGCCGAGTCCAAATACATCATAAAAACATAACAACAACAATACAACAATAAATAACTCATAACAAAGCAAAACAATACAATAATAACACGACGCATTTAAAAACCTGTGGCAGGGCCAAATGTAAGGATTAAAATTTTAAAAATGCTGGGCATGTCCAAGGGAAATAGGATGGATATTTTAGGGATAGGTGGACGTGCAGACAATTCTAAATCTCTCGTAAAGTGCATTTGGGACATATTGCTTGGAGTTTCCTTATTCTGGGAAGGCACACTGGAACAACCACAGGTAGAATCAGGTTACTCCAACAGTTAGAAATGTTACCATAGACTATAACTTCCATGATATCTCAGTCAACATGGTCTCTACCACGCTAGTGGAGTGATTCTGGAATTTTTAGTTAAAAAGGGACATTTCCAACTTTGGAGCTACTTTGAAGCCAGATGTATTAGGTTGAGTGGGCCAGTGAAAAAATCCCAGATCTAATTTTTTTTTTCAATTTTAGATCATCTGCATTCACCAGCGACTTTCAGGTTGTATTATTTAGATTGGGGAGGGGGGATAGTCACAGACGTTCAAATAAATATAAAATCTTGTGCACAAAGAAATGAACAGAGCAGAGAGCAGAGTTATGACTTAACCTTCTCCTAGACCAGTGGTTCTCAAGCTGTGGGTCCCCAGGTATTTTGGCCTACACTTCTCAGAAATCCCAACCAGTTTACCAGCTGTTAGGATTTCTGGGAGTTGAAGGCCAAAACATCTGGGGACCCACAGGTTGAGAACCACTGTATTAGACCAGAACCCCACATACAAAATTGCTAAATAATAATAATAATAATAATAATAATAATAATAATAATAATAATGTATTGTCGAAAGCTTCATGGTTGGAATCACTAAGTTCTTGTGGGTTTTTTCGGGCTATATGGCCATGTTCTAGAGGCATTTTCCTGACGTTTCGCCTGCATCTATGGCAAGCATCCTCAGAGGTAGTGAGGTCTGTTGGAAGTAGGAAAATGGGTTTATATATCAGTCGATATATAAACCCATGGTCATTCCACAGATATATTCCACAGGGTCATCCCACCCTGGTCATACCACAGATATATAAACCCATTTTCATACTTCCAACAGACCTCACTGCCTCTGAGGATGCTTGCCATAGATGCAGGAAAAACATCAGGAGAAAATGCCTCTAGAACATGGCCATATAGCCCGGAAAAAACCTACAACAACCCAATAATAATAATAATAATAATAATAATAATAATGAACTTGATTTATACCCCGCCACCATCTCCCCAATGGGGACTCGGGGCGGATTACATGAGGTCAAGTCCAGACAACATATTATAGTAAGATAAAACCAAAAACATAAGCAACAAGCAACAGCCCTTAAAGAGGTTCCCCACAATGTGTCATCTAAAGCGGTAGACTTCAGTGATAGGCTTACTGTGCTAGTTACAATTCTATTACTCTAGCTGCAGAAGAGTAGATCTATCAAGGCTTGTTAAAGTAAGATGCAAGCAAAGAGAGATATCCATCCATAATAAGGTGTGTGCTTCTCTTCCCAGACAGAGGCTAGTGTGAAGAATTAACCACTTGTTTAGTCTATTGTCGAAGGCTTTCATGGCCAGAATCAATGGGTTGTTGTAGGTTTTTCAGGCTGTATGGCCATGTTCTAGAAGCATTCTCTCCTGACGTTTCGCCTGCATCTGTGGCAAGCACAACCTCTGAGGATGCTTGCCACAGATGGAGGCAAAACATCAGGAGAGAATGCTTCTAGAATATGGCCATACAGCCTGAAAAACCTACAACAACCCAACCACTTGTTTGATCTGAGAGGTTCACAGCGACTACATCTGTTAACAGAAAACACATTGCATTTTATTCCTACTGTTTGGGGAACTAGGCCAGGTAAGTGATCTGTAAGTTAAACCCAAAGTAGGGGAGGGCAATCCAGTGCTCACCGTGTTGCATTTCTCAATCAGCAGTCGGATCTCAGGTTTCACCTTCTCAATGATGTCCACCAGCTGCTGGTTGCTCTTCAGCATCCCGTTAGGCATGACAAAGACTTTGGTACCTGATGCCACAAGGCGAGACTAGTCACTTATTCCATGAAGGAAGAGAGCAAGCATGAGAGTGCCTGTTTACCACTCAGTGGAACAACCAAGCATTTTCCCACCCTGGACAGGCCTATTCCCATTTGTAACTGGACCTTACACATACAACAACATAGAATGTGTCAACATTTCTATATCCAGAGTCAGACATCTTCAGACACCTGGACAGGAGAGAATTTTAGCAAGTGCCATCCATCATATAGTTGGGATCTAAAAAACTAAATTGAAAAAATGTCCTCTTCTTCTCAGCTGTTAAACTGAGAAGAACCAAATTTAATAAGAACATTAGCCCAGGCCTTGTCTTACTCAACTGCTGAGTATGCCTGCCCTGTTTGGCATAGGTCTTCTCATGCAAAGCAGGTAAACATAGCATTGAATGAAACATGGAGAATAATCACAGGATGTCTTAAACCTACACCTGTTGACAAACTCTACAAGCTAGCTGGCATTGCCCCTCCCCCTCGATGTGCYATGTTAAGTTGCTCCTAAATGTGAGAGAAATAGGGTTGAACAATGTGAAAGCCACCCACTACATGGCTACCAGCCTCCTCCCAGTAGACTCAAATCAAGGGAAAGCTTTATGAGAACTTCCACTCCTCTTGGTGCCCCCCCCCCCCAGCCACAGTAAGGGTATCCCTCTGGGCAGCTAAACCAGGAAAACCCAACTGGATGGCCCCCTGTGGGGGTCTTCCAAGAATGGGCAACCTGGAAGTCACCGGGACCGTGGCACAGCTGTTTGAGTGTCAGCTGCATTAAAATTACTTCTGACCACAAGGTCATGAGTTCGAAGCCAGCCTGGGTCAGAGTGAGCTTCCGACCACTTGTGTAGCTTGTTGTCGACCTTTGCAACCTGAAAGACAGTTGCATCTGTCAACTAGGAAAATTAGGTACCACCTATGTGTAGGGAGGCTAATTTAACAAAATTTACGAAGCCATAAAAAAGACTCCAGCAAAGCACTCCAGCAAAAGCATGCGGGGAATGCGGAAGTACTTCATCAGTGTCGCAGATGGACGATAAAAGCGACAGTTCCCCTGGTGGCCAGAAAAAGTTAAATAGCCTCTGACTGTTTGTCTATATCTGTTGTGTGTCTTTGGTATTGAATGTTTGCCATACCTGTGTACATTGTAATCCACCCTGAGTCCCCTGCGGGGTGAGAAGGGCAGAATATAATACTGTAAATAAATAAATAAGTCCCTGAATAGACTCAGAAGCGGAGTGGGCAGATCAAAAGACAACCTGGCAAATCTCCTTGAAGTTTCCAATTTTAGGACCTTTCACCTGATGTCTACTAGGCGTAGAGCTTTCACGGTGGTGGCTCCTTACCTGTGGAATGCCTTGCCAGCGGAAACACGAGCTCTCTGAGACTTACTATCTTTTCGTAGAGCTTGTAAAACGTATTTATTTAGGCTGGCATTTGAATCTTGCTGACTGAAATTTTTCTTTGGTTTTAAATGTAATGTATCGCATATGTATATTGTAAACCGCTCCGAGCCTTCAGGGAGTGGCAGTATATAAAATTGATTAATAAAATAAATATTTTTTTTTAAAAAACAGCACTACCTAAAAGAATCCCACACCTTGTTTGACTGTGGAGCAGAACAGACAACTCCACATCTGTATGCTTGTCCACTATGCCCTGCCTCATGTACAGAGGAAGAATTGTTGGAGGCTACAGACAATGCCATTGCTGTTGCCCGTTTTTGGTCAAAAGATATTTAGCCGCCTGTGCTCCTTCTATTTTTATCAGTTTTATACTCATTTATGCAATGCTTTTGATACAAAATAACAATAAAGCTGTTAAACTGATTAGACCTTCATGGGAAAAGGGTAACTATACTATCAGTTTTGATCAAAGGTCAGTGATTAGTTTTGTGAAGCATTTTTCGCTGTGTGTTTAAAAAAGTAATGTCATCTAACACACTAGAAATCTTGGGACTCCAAAGCTCAATTCTTCATCTGGGAAGCTTTATTCACAGAACAGACACAACTCTGATTTCCTGACATTTCCAATCCTATGGAAGGCTCAGAATCTCTTTTTATTATCATCATGATGTCAGGTCAGTGACAGTCAAATGACAGAGAGAGCCAGCTATGCCTTTTGTTATGGTGGCAAAAAGTGGAGCATTTCAGAATGTCTTTGCAAATGCCAAAGAACCAAGTGTATATGAAGTCTATACCTTAAGGACATATATTTATCTTGAAAGTGAGGACACTGATGGCAAATATAAACAGAATGACATTTCTTGGCACCAGACTAAATATTTAGGATTGATCCCCAAACTTGTACACTCTCGCAGAATTTCCTTAAATGTAATAAGCTTCACAAAACAAAAAAGGATCCTTAACTTATATTAGCAAGCATTACAAGGTAAAAGGGGAATAAAATCATACCCTGGAAGGTCTCTTCACATTCTTCCAGTTTTCTCTTTTTCAGATTGGGCTAAAAAACAGATAAGAAATTCTAAGTGCGTAAACAGCACTTACAGCTGCAAAATGGAGGAAAAACAAAGATCCTTGTTTATTATTGTGAAATGTATATGTCATGCCTGCACTCCAACGGACGTCAGTGCGCTGTTCATAAAAAAATAAAAGCATTCAGCACGATAAATTTTTAATGCAATCAGAAAAAGCTAGAGTCTCGAGATTACTGATCAGATTTAGAAAAATGGATTTCCCAAAAAACTTGTAACGTTCTAAATAATGTTATTACATTTAAATATTACATTTAGAAACAAACAAAAGTTTTATACTGAAATAATATTGCTGAAACAGTGTGTGTGTGTCTGACTTAAAGTCACCTGCTGACTTCTGTCGGTTCCATGAAAATCATAAGGTTTTTAAATGGGATCTAATGCCTTTAGAGTATTTAGGCCTGATATCCCTAATAATGAACAAAAATGACTACTCTTAAAATAACACTATTTTTAAAAGTCATATCTATAAAGAGAACTGGACTTAACATATTATATGAGAGTTTTGAGGCTAAGGTATAGCTGTGGTACCAATAGCATCCTCTATGCGGATGACACACAGCTCTACTACTCCTTTCCACCTAATTCCAAGGAGGCCTCTCGGGTGCTGGATGAGTGCCTGGCCGCTGTGTCTATCTGGATGAGGAGGAACAAGCTGAAGATCAATCCTGACAAGACAGAGGTCCTCCTGGTCGATCGAAAACCTGACCGGGGTATAGGATGGCAATCTATGTTGGACGGGGTTACACTCCTCCTGAAGTCACAGGTCCGCAGTTTGGGAGTCCTCTTGGACTCATCGCTCACTCTTGAGGCTCAGGCGTTGGCGGTGTCTGGGAGGGTTTTCGCACAACTGAGACTCGTGCGCCAACTGCGACCGTACCTCGCGAAGGCGGATCTGGCCGGAGTGGTCCATGCCTTGGTCACCTCCAGATTGGACTACTGCAATGCGCTCTACGTGGGGCTGCCCTTGAAGACGGCTCGGAAGCTCCAACTGGTCCAACGATCAGCAGCCAGGATGTTAACTGGGGCCCCTTACAGAGAGAGGTCAACCCTCCTGTTCAAGGAGCTCCACTGGCTGCCATTTATTTCCCAAGCCCAATTTAAGGTGCAGGTATTTCAGCCCAATTCAAGGTGCAGGTGCTTACCTACAAAGCCCTGAACGGTTTGGGACCATCCTACCTGCGTGACCGCATTTCCATCTACGAACCCACACGTTCACTTCGGTCATCTGGAGAGGCCCTGCTCGTGATCCCACCGGCGTCGCAAGCGCGCTTGGTGGGGACGCGGGACAGGGCCTTTTCCGTGGTGGCCCCCCGACTCTGGAACACCCTCCCCAAAGACCTTAGACAGGCCCCTACATTGGCTGTCTTCAGAAAGAACTTGAAGACCTGGCTTTTCCGATGCGCCTTCCCAGATTAGGAAATCTCCCACTACCAAGTCCCATAAGCACTTTATCAGAACCAATGATTGCTGCACATCGCACATCGCACTTGCCCTAGAAGCCCTTTATACACCTCCTGTCACATCAGCACTTTTAATCTTTGTACCCACCTTCTGGCCCGGCCCAGTTTTACTGTGTTTTAGTGTATTGTGCCTGTTGTTTACTTTGCTTTATTCTGTTTTTAATTGTTTGATTTGCTTAGATTGTATTGTTATATTGTGTGTTGAGGCCTCGGCCTGTGTAAGCCGCCTTTGCTTTATTCTGTTTTTAATTGTTTGATTTGCTTAGATTGTATTGTTATATTGTGTGTTGAGGCCTCGGCCTGTGTAAGCCGCATCGAATCCTTCGGGAGATGCTAGCGGGGTACAAATAAAGTTTAATAATAATAATAATAATAATAATATAGCTTCTCTTTTGTGCTCTGCACTAGTCATCAGTTCCATTTCAAACTGAGCAAAAAACTGATTCAATAGAACTAGCTAAATACTTCATTTAATAAAAGATTACGTGAAGATAGTTTGTTATAACTGGGTTTTTTTACTGCCAAGTTTTATTGGTAGAAAAAAACCCACAATGCAACTGTAATAAAATGAGCTAACACAAAGATGTAGTTTTTTTTAAAAAAAAGCACTTTACTAAACTACTTTCTAAGGGCCCCCTGGTGGCGAAGCAGGTTAAACCACTGAGCTGCTGAACTTGCTGACCGAAAGATTGGCAGTTTGAATCTGGGGAACAAGGTGAACTCCTGCTGTTAGGCCCAGCTTCTGGAAATCCAGCAGTTCGAAAATATGTAAATGTTTCAATAGCAATTTGAAATATGAAAATCATGAAATATTTGAAAGAAATTGGAAGCGGGCCTTAGCATACTTGACGGGAGAGCTAAAGAAATAAAAACAAGAGGAATTTATTGAATTAGAAGTATAGAGGGTTAAACAAGATGTGCATAAATCCTGCGGGGATCAGTGACGGAAGCCAAGGTGGTGGGTAGCACTGGGGGTGGGTTGAGGGGGTAACTATACTGTGAGTGGCAGGTTGTCTACGTATGTGTATGTGTCTATGTCTGCAATATATATGGTTGGTGTATTGTCTTTTTGAAATAAAAATAAAAATTTTAAAAAAATGTAAATGTGAGTACATCAATAGGTACTGCTTCTGTGGGAAGGTAATGGCATTTCATGCAGTCATGTTGGCCACATGACCTTGGAGGTGTCTATGGACAACGCCGGCTCTTTGACTTAGAAACAGAGATGAGCACCAGCCCGGATACAACTAGACTTAATGTCATGGGAAACCTTTACCTTTACCTTAATCTACTTTCTAACTAGTACAAAAAAAGATCTACACATGACAAAACTAAATATATATAGCTATTTTGACTACTTGTGACTGAGAAGCAGGAGATTTTGTAAAACAGAACCAAGCTTCACATAGTATTGGAGCATTTTCCATAAAAATTTCCCACCACAGTTGTTAAAAAATATAAACATATAGTATTAATTTAAAAACTCCTGACACGACAAAAAAATATGTAAAAACATTGTGCAAATAAAATGGTTTTGACCTGACTCTCATAGAAAAACAATGTTTATGTCAGATGACTCTTTGGTGGGATGTATTTCCAGAAACAGGGTGCTACTATCAAGAGGAAATGCAATATATCGGCACTTCTCCTATGAATGGGTGCAAAGAAAGGTTCTTCAGATGCTCTGCTTGCATAGGCAGACTAAGACAGGAGGAAATATTTTTTCAAATATTTGACAAACTATTTAAGGCTTAAGAGTAAGGATGGGCAAAGTGTAGCCCACATATCTTAAGTGCTTCTTAGGACCCCCTGTGCAGCCTTTGGCACCCTTCAAAAGACTTCTCTAGCTCAACCAACACTTCTCAGGTAATTATTTTGGTCTTGAATAGGTTCATGCCTAAAATGCAGAATTATTCTTTCACCAACCCAATAAAAGCCCTAAACCTCCCCATAACATCAAAAAAGAAAAACACCCCAAAATCAGCCAACATGGTAGCTGGAGGTAACACCATGTCACTGTGAGTATACTGAAACTTGCCCATATGGACTGTTAGATAGTTTCCCCTGACCCTGTGTCACTGTCTACCCGTGCTTTAGAGGGAAGCACCACGTAACCTTCTTAAACAATTCTAATTCCAATTTTCAAACATCTTCTCGGTCTCCAGAGCCTATTACTCTGCTGCATTGGAAACTAGAACCCAGAGCAATGGGTTCAAATTACAGGAAAAGAGATTCCACTTGAACATTAGGAAGAATGTCCTGACTGTAAGACCTATTCATCAGTGGAACTCTTCGCCTCAGAATGTGTTGGGAGCTCCTTCCTAGGAAGCTTTTAAACAGAGGTTGGAGGGTCATCTGTCAGGCATATTTTGATTGTGCTTTTTTTTGCATGGCAGGTGTTTGGACTAGATGGCCCACGTGGTCTCTTCCACATCTATGATTCTGTAATTCTACTAACAGCAAGCAATATTTTGTTTTATTAGATAGTACATATTACATCCAAGTAAGCTCTCTGTGAGGATAAGAAGAAAGATAAAATGAGAAAAATTAAAGAGAAATAGTCGAGATAGACAGAATGAATAAAAGGGGTGAAACCAATATAAATATTGTACAGAGATGGGAAAAGCCGAGCTCATGGATGATGTTAAATCTAATGGAAATTGTGATATAGGTATGGGGTGGGGGGAGGGAATGAAAAACAAAAACAAAAAGAACAGAGTGAACAGAACTAAAATATCTATATATATACAAATGTAATGTTCGTTTGTGGGATTAACAGAACTCAAAAACCACTGGACGAATTGGCACCAAATTTGGACACAATACACCTAACAATCCAATCTATGTCCTTCACTCAAAAAATGCTTTTGTCATTTGGGAGTTGTAGTTGCTGGGATTTATAGTTCACTTACAATCAAAGAACATTCTGAACTCCACTAATGATGGAATTGAACCAAAAGTGACACACAGGACTCCCATGACCAACAGAAAACACTAGAAGGGTTTGGTGGGTATTGACCTTGAGTAGTACACCTACATCCAGAGAGCACTGTGGACTCAAACAATGATGGATCTGGACCAAACTTGGTATGGATATTCCATACACCCAACTAGGAACACAGATGGAGCTTGGGGGAAATAGACCTTGACATTTGGGAGTTGTAGTTACTGGGATTTAGAGTTCCCCTACAATCAAAGAGCACTCTGAAGCCCATGAACAATAGATTTAGGGCAAACTTCCCACACAGAACCCCCATGGCCAATAGAAAATACTTAAGGCCATCCAGTCCAACTCCCTTCACCAGGGCAAGAAAACGTAATCAAATACTGTTTACCCACAAGCAGAAAGAAATTACATATATTAGAAACCAACACTTTCTCATTATTTTATTTTCCAGATCACCAGACTGGGCCACAGCAACGCGTGGCAGGGGATGGCTAGTATTAGATAAATGAGTGGATAATATAGAATGAAGAGTGAGAAATAGGAAAAGGGTGGAGAAATGAGGTTACAGATAAGTGATGTGTATAGATTAAATGTACAATATTTACTCATATAATGAAATATAATATTAATAGAAATATTTTTTTAAAAGCTATCTTACCCCATCGAGTCCGTCATGACTATTTGTGAGCAGGATTGGGTCAGGGACAGGAAGGTTCATATCTGAGTGGATTTGAGTGAGATCATGAATGTTCAGTATAGGATCCTAAAAAAAAAAGAAAACAAGAACATTGCTTTATGAATGAAAAAAGAATATTACAAACAGTGAACTTTCCTTTTCTTGTAAGACTGGAGTATTCTTTTAAGGACAATTCTAATCTTGTAGCAAGGCTGGGACAGATTCTTCTGGATCATAGGCTGGATCTACACTGCCAAATAATGCAGTTTGAACTGCATTATATGGTTAGAGTAGACTTAGATAATGCAATTTGAACTGCACTGAATTCTATTATATAGGGCTGGATATATACTGCCATATAATGCAGCATCATTTGTTTTATAGCTTGGACATTATGGAATACCCACCCAGAAGGAAGCAGTAGCTTCCCAGCTCTTACCTTAAGGAAAGCATCGAGTTCTAAAAGCTTCTTTGGGAAAAAACTAGCTACTAGATCTTCAGCCTGGAAGAGAAAGAAGAACAGACTGTAAGGTACAAAATGATACTGAGAGTGGTATGTATAGACACTGGAAAAAAGAAGCCAAGGTTTTCTGTAAAGCAGGGGAAAGCTAAAGAGAGATGCACACATACTCCACAATAATAATAATAATAATAATAATAATAATAATAATAATAGACACTTGGGAATTGTTCGACTTGTGATTTTGTGACACGAAATCCAGCATATATATCTTGCTTGCTGTAGCATACTATGTTTTTGTGTCAGTAAAATAATAATAATAATAATAATAATAATAATAATTTATTATTATTATTATTATTATTATTATTATTATTATTATTTTATTTATTACCCAGCTCTCCTGATGGCTTGAGGTGGAGTAGAACCAATTAAAAAACAAACGAACATAAAAATACAATAAACTACATAAAACACACACACACAAACTTATACCAAACACATATACAGAATTGATATAGTGTCAACAGAATGTAAATCAAAACTTATGATTCATAGCTGGCTGGGTAGGCCTGCTGGGTCTTCAATTGCTTTTTAAATTCTGGCACCTCGTTTAGCTGTCAGAGCTCTTCAGGCAGGTCATTCCAGTTTTGGGATGGACGATGAAAAGGTCCTCTGGGAGATGGTTGCTAGTCAAATTCTGGCTGGTTAGAGGAAGCATCCCCCAGAGGAACTCAGTGTCCTAAAAGGCGGATTATGCAGGAGAAGATGATCCTGTAGGTAACCTGGATCCAAACCACGAATGTAAAGGTCAAAACCATCACTTTGTACTTTGCCTGGAAGCTAACTGGCACCCAGTGAGTGAGTTTAATATAGGTGTAATATGCCCTCTCCTTGATGTTCCTGTAACCAAACTGGCTGCTATGTTTTGAACTAATTGGGAGTTTCCAAACTTCATCCAGAAGTAACTCAATGTCATTTGGAGAGAGGAATCCAGGAACACTCCCAAGCTGTGAACACAGTCTTTCAGGGGGAGTGTAACCCCACCAGAACTGGTTGACACACTTCCATTTCTCGGTTAGGACTCTTGATAGCAAGTGTGGTGAAGTGTGAATTTTAATCTACAGTTATGTATGATTATAGATAGGTGTTTAAAAGGGTAAGTATTTAAACTAGCATAACTGGGGATATGGTAGCCAGCTCAACTCACTTTGAGCTGGGTTGCCATGGAAAAAGGGGCAGAGCCAACTGCCACTTGGCAGGGCAGCCATTTTAAAACAGCTAGTCTGTAGTCAGCGAACTACAGGGATGGCTGGTTCTGTAGTGTGTTGAGAACCAGTAAGGTAGTCTGTAGTCTAAGAACTACAGGGGAAGGCTGATTCTACTGTGTTGAGAATCAGGAAGGTTTTGGCTTTTAGCCTGTGTTTAGATAGTTCAAGGTGACTTATTTAGATTCATAGTTAGTGTATGAGAGAAAGGGTGAGAGAAACCCAGTAAGCATCTTTACTGCAACAAAAATAACATAAGGAAAGAATAAGCTTGTACTTGAAGTAATATGTTAAAGAAAGAATCACATTTTGAAGGAAAATAAGTTTGAAACCTGTTTAGTGGAAGGAATAGTCCTCTTAAGAGTTGTTTATGAAATGTTATAAATGTAACCTCTGAAGATATGTGCCTCTAAGAGTTAAGAAACATTGAAACCATCAAGCTTCTTCTATACTTCAATAAACTTGTTACAGTTTCTTCTAAAGCCAAGTCTCTGTTACAAATACTTTCAAGTTTAGCCACACTACACATTGAAGAAAGACCAAATCAACATTACAAGCTATTAGTTGTGTTATCAATTTATTAAGTCCTTATAAAGTGGTGGCTCCTTTACAAACCGTTACAAATTGGTGGCCTCTTTACAGCAAGCACCTATGTTTTGTCTGAATTCAGTTTCAATTTAGCTTCTACTATATAGGGACACGTCTCCTGGCTAAAGCTGCTGTCTCTACCAGGAAAGCAAAGCTACATGCAAATATTGTTGTTGACTAGCAGATGCTTTGAGATCCAGCAAAGGATAAAATCTTCAAGCAACAGAAGCATCAAGCCTTTGGGTCTTATTAAGGATCAGATGAAGGTGGGAGAAATTAGTCGGATACTTACTTCACCTGTGATTCGCTCCCTGAAAGAGTCTACCTGTGGGGAGAACAGATAAGCAGTTAGACTAGCAAGTTTCAATTAGGGAAAATAACATGACCAACAAAGTCTGCTTCCTTGCGCTTGCATCACTTTGTGGCCCTTCTGATCCTTATTAGCTCAAGACAGCACAGCCAATGGTCAGGGTGATTATGATGGGAAATGAAGTCTATTAACATCAGGAAGACCTTAAGTTCCTTCCCTTTCATTGAATCATAGAATCAAAGAGTTGGAAGAGACCTCATGGGCCATCCAGTCCAACCGCCTGCCAAGAAGCAGGAATATTGCATTCAAATCACCCCTGACAGATGGCCATCCAGCCTCTGTTTAAAAGCTTCCAAAGAAGGAGTGTCCCTCTGAACAACAAAACCTATTAAATCCAACATAATATAGGCTCTTACGAGTGAGGCAGAATTGGTGCAGTGCCCCCCCCACCCCCACCCCAAACACTGGTTCCTTAAATTTTGATATTGGTTTCTAGATCTCTGGTGCATTTTCCCCCATATAGCAACTGCATTTCTCATAAATGTAACAGTATTAAAGCTATTTTACTATTTGTATGTTGTGTGTGTGGATTTTAAATTTCACTACTTTTTAATGTTGTGAGCCACTCCGCATTTCAATCTAAATAAAAGCAATCTTGAAAAACAACAAGAAGTTGGTGAAGCCTTGAGCAAAAGAACAGGAGGCTGGGAAAAGACGCATCACTTCTTTAGTTGCTAGAAGGTTGAAACCTGTTACCTTTCCATTCATGGTGGTAAATACCTGCAGAATTTAGACCTTATTGCACTAGAGAATAGGGAGATGTTTTTAACGGCCTCACTAAATTACAGACAATCTTAAATCTTTAATAAAGTGCATTTGGGGCATGATTCTAGGAGTTTCCTATTCTGGAAAGGCACACTGGAACAGCCAGGTCTTCAAGCTCTTCCTAAAGACTGCCAAAGTTGGGGCTTGTCTGATATCCTTGGGGAGAGAGTTCCAGAGCTGGGGGGCCACCACAGAGAAGGCCCTGTCCCTCGTCCCCACCAATCGCACTTGCGACGCAGGTGGGATCATGAGCAGGGCCTCTCCAGATGATCGGAGATATCGTGTGGGTTCATATACGGCGATGCGGTCACGCAGGTAGGCAGGTCCCACAAATTACATTTTTATTTATATAGATGATTTTAGATGTGTGATATACTGTTTTTATTATATGTGATGCATTGAATTTCCCCATTTATTTGATGTGAATCGCTTCAAGTCCTGCCAAGGATGGGAACTGTAGTTCAATTGACTGTGGGGTTTCCACCCATCCTGCAGCTATTTCCGTTATCTAAAGAACAATATGTTTTCTCTGTGGCCGCTCCCAGGAACTGGGACTCCCTGCTAGTAGAGGCATGGCTGGGTCTTCCCTCTGGCCTTCCACCAACAATTTTATCCACAGACATTGAACTAGGTGCCATTTGTTTGTAACACGTCAGCACAGTTTTCCCTGTTTTAACTTGCTTCTTAAATTACCTTAAAATGAACTAATACGTTCTATGTTTTAATTTCATTTTTGCATTTGCATCATTGCTGGCAACCTTGAATTTATGGGGCAGCGAAGCAGAGCATAAAGTAAACAAATTAACATACAAAACTGATTTAGCAGGTTGGAATCATACTTAATCATGTGAAACCGGACTGGGCAAAGTAGATTTCCTGCTGCCCTAGCTACAAACACTACAGAGTTAGAAGACCTGCTCCAGGCCATAGTTCAAAGGCAACCCTGAAAAGTGGGCACACCCCTTAGTGTAGCATTTGCAAGGCTGCCTTGGGGAAGGAAATGCGAGAGCATTCACTTCTGCTAGCCTAGCTGCACAGCCCTAAAACTTAGACCAAATTATTGTGTTTTCCTTGAATCTTTGCCATCAACCTCCGTTTTAAATAATAAAGCCATTCTTCTGCCTTCTCGGCAAATTAAATATTTGGGTGCAATCCTAGATCCTTTATCGACTCACTTTACAGCATAATCTTACCAGTCTTTCCCAAAAATCCAACCTAAGTAAAAAGTTCCACTTAAATAATTACTTACAATGCCCTTTCTTCTCTGAAGCCCTAGAATGTTTTGCTCATCAGTATTCCTTTGCCTCAACTAAATCTATTTCCAGCTTTTCTATTTGCTGTAATGTTTCCTTCACCAAGTTTTAAGTAACATTACACAGAATACTTTCCCCTGTCTTCAATGGATTTTCTTAAACCTTTGTGGTTTCAAACTTATGTATGCTAACTTGTGGGAGAGTATATTCAGCAAAGCTTACCTCTGTGCAGACAAGTAAAGCACTGCATTGTAGATTTCTCTATGGTCATGTTTTTACCTATCTTGATGGGTTTCTAGCCATTCTCCTCATTCTCTTTTCATTAAATATTAATGTTTATATTGAACCTTCATCCGCTTGTGTAATTCTTCCTTTGTGTGACTCCTTTAAGCCTGTTTTTCAAGGGAGATCAAAACTCATCAACCCAGTTTCTAAGTGAGTTTATTGCTCTAGATTTTAGGATTCAGAAACATCCACAAGGATGCTGGCTTGTTATGTTGAGAAAATTCCCTTAAAGTCTCTCATCCATATACTAACCAGGCCTGACCCTCTGCCACCATGATCAAATACAATCAGGATATTTAAGCAATCAGTTAGTTTTCTGTGTTTATATATTTCTGCATGCCATCAAGTTGTCTGCCAATTTATGTCATCTCATTGAATTGCTTAGGGTTTCCTTAGGCAAGGAATTCATATGGTTTTCTCTGGCAAAGTTTGTTTTTCTAATCACTATGCAACAACATTTGAATAAAAAATCTGTTCCTGGTTTGAAAGATTTATTTCCTGCTTAATTGTGCGGTACTTACTTTGAAAGCAGTGGTTAAACTCCAGAAACTTGGTTTTTGTGGCTGCCACAAACTATGTTGAATTGGTTGAGACTCTTTGAGATATTCATTAAAAAACTATAGCAAATTGTGCTGCAAGATGTCCCACAAAACAAGTTTTTGCCGTTTAATAAATATTTTTCATGTTCCCATGATAGAACCAATTAGAAAATGACATTTATAACCCAGGAACAAAAAATGTGTTACATAATGTAATCTATTGTATCATTTTACTTCTTGTGTTTGATGTCTCCCAGCTTATCTCTACTTTTGTCTTGTTTTTGAAGACTGCAAGACCATAGGTAAAAACTTGTTCCATTTCACACTTGTACAGAACCCAGTCATCTTCAGTGGTTATAATATGTCACAAGAAATTCAATGTGCAGATTTGACAAATATGAATTTAATATGATGTGTGGGAATGAATGGAAGAATGGCAGGATGTGTTGTTGGAGTTAATAATTTTGGAAACACCAATATAATATTAAGGCCTGCAATGACTAACTATCTGCTTGCTGGAACTGTGATCAAAACCTGCTAATGAGAATTGATAAGAACTGTGACAATGGTTCTTTCAAGTTAAGGAAATGTTTGCAACATTCCTTATGTTAAGAAGGAAGTCAACATAAGATCAACACCAATCAAGAAGATCAACATCTGCCCTGGAAACTGAGAAGGATCCAGGATGGAAGGTGTCTATCATTAATTTACAACTTTGGGACTACATCAAAAGAATATTCCTATAAAAGACCCAGATTAATAATGCTCAAAGTGGCTGACCTGAGGAGTCTGTTCCACCCGCTATGCTCTGCTCCATGGGAAGGAGAGAGATAGTGTACCTAAGGAGAGTGACAGATATGCTATGGGAAAGAATGATTCTGGTCACTTTGGGGTCTTCTTTCTGAAAGAAAGAGGAAGAAGTGCATTTTTGGAGTCTTAGATTTTGTGCAGGGAGTCAGGTTCTGCTGTATGGAAAACAGAGATCTGGTCCTTGGCATTGTGCTTAGGGAAAGAAGTTTTGGTATCTCAGCGTTTTGAAGTTTTGGCGTTACGGAAGTTATGGAACTATGCATTGGCAGGCTGCAGAAAATCAGGGTCTGGCCTAACAGATGCTTCTCCAAGGAGGGAGAAAAGGATATGGTAATATTTTGAATGTATGGGGATGAATGCATGTACGTGTATGTGAATGTTGAGTGAAAATGTAATTCCCCTTTGTTTGTTTGTTAACCAATGTAATTGTAAACCCAATGTAGTTGCATAGAATCTGTATGTCTGTATGTCCAATGTCATTCTTTGTCTAAATGTTTTTCTGTAATCTGATATACCTTCTCACACTGGAAATTGCAATAAAAAGAACCTATGCTTCAAAGTTATTGAAAAGTTATTCATGACATAATTGGTGTCAGAAGTGGGATATTCTTTTCCAATGTGAGAAAGTTATTTATAACAAATAATTATGACTTACTGCTCCATATATAGTGTGTGTGTGTATATATATATACATACACACACACACATATACATACATACATACACTTTTAAGGAACCTTCCCTTTCCTGAGACTGCAGTAATGTTTTTGTTTTTCTTGAAAATTGTGATGAATTTGTGAAACGAAGACCTTTTCCCTTAATTGTTTGAAAGTGCCATACTTGAACAGAAAAAACCCCACACTGGACCACCTTTTAAATATAGGATAATGACAGAGCTGCTGCTTTAAAAAGATGACTTTTAAAAAATAGATTGTTTTTTTAAGTTCCAAAATTTAAAAAAGTCAGAGGAGTGACTAAGCACAATTTTTATCCAGAGTCATACAAAGGTCTCCAACTGTAAGGAGGCTGCTATTAGAAAAAACCCAACATTATAGTAGAGAATGACAAATGCAAGGTGAGTCAACTCATTAATGTGCATTTTTAAATTCTTTAGCACATTCACCCCAGACTCTCTTTTAAAATGTCATAATCAGTACTGCAAAGAAAAATGGAAAAGCTTTCCTTCAGAGCTTTGAATTACTCTTCAAATGCTGCAGAGTACTGGAATTCTTGAAATTAAAAATATGAATGCACTTTGGGGTCAATCCAATGAAACTAGCTCTGAACTCAATATATAAAAATC